GCTTCTTCGACAGAGTTGTGGAGCAGTGTCCCGTCTTGATAGAACACTCGTAGAATTGCTGGGAATGGTGTTTGGAAGCGCATCCCTTTTCTTTCGGTACTCTTTTAGCTTCGGTGTATTTTTGTCTTAAGTGTACAAGGTGCGCAGTCCTGGCTTAGATTAACCTGTTTACTTTTCCAGAGGAAACCCTTCTTTTGCTGTGCTTTTGAAAAGACTTCTTCCTTAGTCCTGTAGCACAAGAAGCGTGTAATGATGGATTGCAGTGGGGCGCCATCTGGTGTAGTAGCTGGAGCACGGTGTGCCTGTTCATTCTGGAGGTTCATTGTCGTGGGGAGCTGAAGGTTAACTTTTAGCAACTGTTTGATAAAAAAAAAATCATTGATGGGGTTTCTTTTCCCTCACCTTTGGCCATGCGTAAACCCTCTAATTATTTTGTCTGCAGTGACCTTCTTGGTCAGTAAGTTGTGAGTAAAGTTTAGCCTGGAGTTTTATTAGCTCCATCAAAATATATTTTACCGATTGCATTCGCTCTTCTGTATCCAGAACTCGTCTCTGCACCTCCTCAAGCCTGGCGTTGGATCTTATTTATCGCCTCTTTTATGTCTTTAAGTTGTTGCATATTGTCCTTTCTAAAATCTAATCTCTTTGTAGATCACCAGAGGGTTGATGTCGTGTTTGCCGCCTTCCGTTTCCTCTGCAATACTAGCATTAGGGGTGCACCGATAAATCGGCCCCGATTTCCTTAATTTTGGAAAATTGGAAATTGGCCGATGCATGAGAAACCGATTTTACCGATTTTTAAAAAAATTTTAACAATTGTCTAAACTTCATTTATATTTCAGAGCACTACCTCATGGCCAGTTAAAACAAGTTTGTATTGTTTCTAGGATATTTGGGTATGTTTTCAATAAAGCAATATTGGAAAATGGAAGGTGCATTGTGACCTTATAACACCTGACAGTGTCACTTATAAAACAAAATCGGTATCGGCCAATATCGGAATCAGCAGGTCAGACTTTTTAGAAATCGGTGATCGGCCAGAAAACTGCAATCGATGCGCTCCTAACCAGCATTACTGTTTCCTGGAACATCTTGCGAAAAGATCTGAAGCTCTCGACTTTGACCTCCCTGGGGGATTTTAAATAATTGTTAAGCTCAATGCAAAAATCAATATAGACGTGTTCCTGTTTTTAGTATCTTACACCATTTTATAATGTAGCATGTTTTTTTTTATTTTGTTTTATACCACTTCTTTTATATACTTTTCATTTTATATGCTTTTATATTGAATGTTTATTGTTGTGTGAACCTCATTTGTGGTTTTTGTCTAAAAAGGTCTCTCTTGTAATTGAGTCGTCGTGACTCAATGAGACTAACTTGTGTAAATAAAGGTTGAATGAATTAGCGGTGTTAGCATTAGCCAATGTACCTTTTTATTAGCTTTGGTATCTTCATTAATAACCTCATTTTGTTTCCTTGTTTACGACTTGCTCTGCTTGTCTCTATTGCCTTTTCCTTATTTAATATATTATGAAAATTTGTTTATAAGCATTCAAGTTTTAAGAACTTTTTAGATGAAGTGCCAGGAGCAATAGTCCAATACAGCCATCTTGTAGCGTGCTTCTCAGAAAGTCTGTTTTTCAATGAATGACGAATGCAGACGCAGATTTTAGTTATTTACGAAACTCTTAATGGACGCGGAGAAGACATGAGACTTCTGGGGAATTATCACTGCAACAAGAGGATTTGAACCCAGGAATGCTGATGAAGATCAAAGGTCGTAAGAAACAATTATTTTATTTTAACAAAATGAAAAGTGGCCAAAACTTACAGGATTCAGAATCCTCAGAGAGGTGCAGACATCATCTTATAAAGTTAATAATCAGCCACTGCTGGAAGAACAGAGACACTGGGAATCTGTAGGGCAAGAAGGATAACCACTAAAATACACCTAAATGATAAACGGAAACGGGTGAGAGTGGGTGTGGCAGGAGCAGACTGAGGAACAGGATGAACTGAGGAACAGGATGAACGTACAGAAGAAATGAGCTGACACTTGGTGAGTAGCAGAAAAACAAAAACTGATAAAAAAAAAACATGGGAAACTGATTAGAAGTGGAATAAAACAGTCAGAAACGCAAATATAATTTTTATTTGACAGAAGGCAGGAAAGAGCATCCAACACTGACGAGACCTGTTTGTGCATGAGCATTTTTTATTAGGCAGAATAATCTGTCCCTTTAACTGACAGAACCATTTCTTTGTATTTTCCTTTGTGCTCAGTTTTCTTCCTCTGCTGACAAAGTTCCTCGTTATTTATTATTATTATTATTATTTTAGTTTCTCTGAAATGTTTCATGGGCTCACCTGGTGACTTCTGCTTCCCTCTCAGTTGTGCGGAGAACTGACCCCCCACTCTTCCTCTGCAGCGTCACTGAAACATTTCAACCCTTTCTTTTGGTTCCTCTTGTCCTTTTCACCTGCCCTGGATTTGTAATCGGCGCACCTGGACCTCATGTTCTTTATACCCCGTTCTTAATATTATTGGCCTTTTTGGCCTTCCTTTATTTAATTGTCATAGATTTGTATTTTAATCCTTGGGTGATTTTTTTCTTTTTTCTTTTGTGAAGCTAAACAAAAAATCACTAATTTCAAAGATGCTTAAGAACTTTCTGTCATTTCAAACTGAATCGAACAAACAAGGAAAACGTGGGATAATCTCAAACTGTAAAGTTGCATCAAATCAACAACAAATCTGTTTAAACTCTTTATATCACGAGTTAAAATCTAAGAGACGAGATACTAAATATGTGAGGGGGACAACATGATTATTATTAATAACCTTTATTTAACCAGGCAAATCCCATTGAGATCACAGATCTCCTTTGCAAGGGAGGCCTGGGCCTGAAGCAGCCTAACGTGCATGTTTTTGGTCTGTGGGAGGAAACCGGAGGAGAAAACCTAAGCAAGCACGAGAAGAACATGCAAACTCCACACAGAAAGACCCCAGGTCCAACCAGGGATTGATTAATTTTTACAAATATACAACCAACGTTCCTGGCTGTTTTTGATTTGTGTCACTCCATAAAGAACCACTTGTTCAACAATAAATCATAAAATAACTCATCTCCCTGGGCAGATAGCTGCCCGGGGAGCAATTAGGGATTGGGTGTCTTGCTGAGAGACACCATGACATGAGGGAATGCCTGGGGATTGAACCTGGGACTTTGAGGTCCCAGGTCAGCTGTCCTACCTCTTCCCCATCTCGGCCTCTCGGGGTAAACCTGCGATTGTTCTAGTTCTTCATAAAAAACAATAAATGTGAATATTGAAGAATGTTACAACCATTTTTTTTTAAATTAAAGTAAAATTAATCGTATTTTGGTACTGCCACTTTGCTGAAAACCGAGTAAGATTCTGTCAATCATTGTGAAATTAAAGGTTATAAAATTATTGAACATTCATTGCAACCACCTGTGGCCTCACAAACCCACGGTTTGTGTAAGGGTGCGTTCACACCAGCCCTGTTTAGTCCACTTTAATCGAACTCTAGCTCGTTTTCCTAGAAAGTCCGGTTCGTTTAGGGAGGTGTGAACGCGCCATTGAACTCTGTCACGGAACAAAAATGCGAACTCTGGCCCGGGCTAAAACCTAGGTCTCGGTCCGGTAGAAGCGAACTCCAGCGCGGTTTGAGTACAGTGTGAATGTAAACAGACCGAGCCCCGCTCCACAGAGTAAACAAACACACATTGCTCTGACCTCATATGGAGCCGTCAGCTGCCTTGTGTGAAAAACAATATTCTCCAGGGTCTTCTGTCTCATCTTCTGCTCATGCTGAGTCCATTTTTGAAAAATTACAAAATATAACTCCTAAAACAGCTAAAACTTGATGCCACTTCGTTTTTGTTTTTATTTACAGAAGAAGAAGACGTTTTTGTGTCGTTTCTTTCAGTAGTTTTTGGTGCAGCGCCCCCACAGGCGAGCGGGGGAACAGGTTGGTTCAACAGGTTGACTCGACTGCACAGTGCAGTGTGAATGCAAACGCACCAGCTCAAATGTAAACACAAGGTTATGAATATTGGTCCCGAACCGAGTCTACCGGACCATCTGGTGTGAAAACGACCTAAAACTCCAGCAAGTTCTGGGCCTGTCGACAAGGCGTTCTCGTCATCTGCTGACCGTTACTGTTTGACTGGCTGTCAGATGCTCCAGCAACTATCTGATAACACTAATGCCCTGCTGGTCTGCATGTGAACCAAATTAAATTGAAATCAAGCTTTAATTTCTGGGTAATTCACTTTTTATGTCAGCAGGTGTACTAATCTTCTTATCCTCAAAAGATGATGAGCCAAACTAAATAAGTTGAAAATGGTTTTGAATCATGCGTTTGGTCTTTTTCTGATGCATTATCATCAAGTATTATCTGATGATGCTGTTACCCTCTTCAGAGGTTGACACAGTGAGCAAACCCGCATAAAAGATTTGGAAATTCCTGAGACAACTGGGCTCAAACGTCAGAAACCTCAGAAATAAAAGGCTGCGGCACTGACCACTGAACCACTGCAGCACACATCAACGGTAACAGTCATACTGAATCTGATCAGTGTAACAGCAGGTTGATTGTTCAAATGATTCAACCAACATGGTGCAACACAACTACTGATCAGCAACAGATACAGCAGGTCCTCGTGGAAGTTTATACATGAAACAAACATCTTGTATAAAGTCAGAGGTTGAGTTGAAGTTCAGGTTTTGCATAACACTTGTAATTAAAACCACACTTCCTAAAAATAAAATGAATACTCATGAAAACCATTTCTAAAAAAAAAACTGGTTACATTTTCTGAGCTTTGTCAAAATAAAAAAAAGGAACCTTTTAGTTCTCTATGAAGTGATGTAGTGACGTTTTGTCACAGCTTGGAAAGAATATCAGCAGCTTCTGTTGAACCTGCTCTCATTTTCTGCCCTGAAGCTGCAGCAGGTTTGTGTCGGCTTTAGAGATGGAGGACGAAGTCAGTTATTCATCACTTGTCTTCAAGAACAGTGGCGCAACTCAGAAAGGTGAGTGTCTCCTGCTGTTTGCCAGTGAAACTCGGGGCTTTCTGTTTAATTGGACAGAAAACCGATCGTTTCAAGGGTTAGTGCGCAGAGTTTAGATGTACGGTAGATGTGTCAAAGATTAGTTTATAGTTCATATGAGTTAACAAGTGTCAATTTTAATTCTATGGCATGTTTAAAAACATGGTTGACCAAAGTGCTTCAGGAGTTAGTTTCAAGATAAAGAAGAAAATCCATCAATAAAATAAAATTACACATAAACAACAAATACAAATTAACAACCTTAAGGTGGAAGAGGAGCATCTGTCTGGAAGATCTCTGTGCTCTTTAGGGGTAAAAAAAAAAAAACTATCTGGACACCAAACCATTCTAAAAGTAACAAGAACCTTAAAATGAGTCTATAAATGAACAGGAAGTGTACCTTTGCTAAAACTGGAGCGATGTGTTCACGCCTTCAGCAGCGTTCTGGACAAACTGCAGGAAAAATAGGAGTCTCAAATCTAGACATAATAAAGGCCTGGACAAGTGTTTAAATGTATTTTAGAGGAATGTAGGATTCTGTTTTAGTCTCTTTATAGTTATTAGACAGATCCTTGTTGGACGAGTTGTGGCATCATTCGGACTAGATGTTGGGTCAGATGAGCCCAAACTTTTAATTCATAAGCAAACCAACAATCTTCAATTCTTCGAGTCCATCCATTCGTTACCTTCCACTTGTTCAAGAGTAGGTCTTGGGTGCAGAAGCTCTCTGAAGTGAACCCGAGCAGTGTTCTGTTGTTGGACTTTTGAGCTTGTCATGTTTTGTCCATAAGTGGACATGGTACCAGGACACCCTTGATCACAGATGATACACTTTGTAGTCGTGTCCTCTGATCTGCTGCTCCTCCACATCCAGAGGAGCCAGCTGAGGTGATTTAGACACCTGGTAAGGACGCACCTTGGACCCCGCCTTCGGGAACATTTCCAGGAATGTCCGCCTGGGAAGAGACCCCAGGAAGACCCAGAACGTGCTGAAGGGACTGGTTCTTGGCTGGCCTGGGACAGCCTTAGAATCATCCCAGAAGAGCTGAAGGAGGCATCTGGGCTTCCCTAACTTGAGAACGCGGAAAAAAGGAGTCCCCAGCTGGAGAACCTTCTAGCACCCCTGCTATGGACTCCAGAAAGGCTGGGTACTCTGAACCCAAAGGTGTAGGGAAGTTACTCTCTCACCTATGGGGAAAAACTCCAGTGCACATGCATTAAGCGGGGGGGGGGG